TGAAATTGCTCATAGATGTAATGCTAATTAATGTTAAATCACAAATAAACAGTATTTTAAATAGATGGATTTTGCACTGCAGTCTTTCATTATGTGTTCATTTTCCTGTCAAATGTCATTTTATTTTTGTATATTACTATAAAGATTACATAAGCCAGTGGTTTTCAGACTGCGGGTTGCGACCCAATACTGGGTTGCGGAATGTAAGGCACTGCATCATGGTGGCTCTGATCAGCACTGCCAACCAGGCTGTTAAAAGTCCCGTCGGCGGTGCTGCCCGGCTAAGGCAGGCTAGTTCCTACCTGTTCTGTTGCCGCGCTGTGCCCTGGAAGCAGCCAGCAGCAGGTCCGGCTCCTATGCGTGGGAGCTATGCGCCCCAATCCTCTACCCCAGCCCTGAGCCCACCCAAACCTGGAGCCCCTTCCTGTACTCCAAACCCTTCATCCCTGTCCCGATCCTAGAACCTGCATCCCCAGCCCAAAGCCCTGACCCCCTCCCGCATCCCAACCCCCTGCCCAGCCCAGAGCCCCCTCCCACACCCGGAACCCTTCATTCCAAGCCCCAACCTGCAGCCCTCACCCCCGCAACGCAACCCGGTGCCCCAGGCCCCCCTCCCACACCCTAAACCCCTCATCCCCAGCTCCTTTGGGCATCAACAATTTTCTTCAACTGGGTTGCCAGAAAAAAGTTTGAAAACCACCAACATAAGGGGAAAACTGCCTTAATTATTACTTCAACTCTTCTCCCAGCCTAAACCTAAAACCTAAACCTAAAGCCTAAACCCCTAAAACCTGCAAGGAAATAACCTGGACTTTAGAGATTTGGTTAATGTTTCTGTCATTAATTTGTAGGCCACATTGGGGAAAAAGGACAGTCTTGACACCAAGACACAGGACTGGTCTCCAGAGTTCTGTCTTTCCAGCTGTGCCACAAACTTCCTTTCTTTCTCGGGCAAGTCACTCCATCCCTGTGTCCTTATTTGCTTCTCTACAAAACGAGTTTAACAATACTGACTTCACAAGCGTAGTGTGAAGTCCTTGAATGGAAAGTGATCTATAAGTGTAAAATATTACTGTTTTTTTGGGTTATATAGAAATATCTTAGATAAATTTAGCTTCCCTTGTTTTATGAAAAGTAACAAAGAAGGCCATTGCCTAAAGTTCTTCATACGAAGTGATATGTGTCATGTTCTAGCAACCTACAGCATACCTCAAAATCTCTGCCAAATTGCCAGAGTTCATGTGTTGCGTTTTTTATGGCCTCAGTCACTGTAGAGAGCTGATAAATGGTATTGAAACTTCCTGTAGCACACTCTGTCTTCCACAAATCTGCCTTTGACACTTTCTTTCCATGAAAGCCAAATCCAAGCTCTTCATCGTTCCAGTGATCTTTGCATGAACGACATCAACCTCAGTCTAGCAGATAAATTGCTGCAGAGTCAGAGATCTTAGATTGGGTACCCATACCTGTTGTCTTACTATTTATCTTTTGTGCTCAGTGATGTATAAACACAAAAGAAGGCATGAAATCTGCCCCCAAATAGCTTATTCACTAAATGCTTTTGTTGGTTACTAGGGATCTCCCTTTGTTTCAGGGTGTCCATGAACCATGGGTCCTATCTATCTGGTTATCTAGAGCCAAATTCTTCCACGGAGTTACAAAAGTGTACGATTCTGTGACCCTGAACATGTAAAATAAGGCAAGTGTAAGTCAGGCACAGAGGCTGTGCAGTCCACAACAGTGTTAGGAAGCTAGGAATGCTGGAAAACCCAGGTTGGACAGACTGCTAGGAAAGTTGTTTGTTGGCCCAGCAGACAGCAATTGTGATGGAACCAAGGCAATAAGAGAAAAAAGTAACCTTCCCAGCTGTTCAAATCACCATATGCAGGGACTAGATGACCTCCTGAGGTCCCTTCCAACCCTGATATTCTATGATTCTATGATCACACAGACAATGCAGCATCACCGTAGGGCCTAATATATGCAATGGAACATGTTTTTAACATATCAAGTACTATTAAAAGAATATTATCAATACTGAGAATCTATTTTGTAACCTTCTTACATGTAAAGTGCTCAAACTATATTGAACTGTTTTACGTTCTGTTAAATTCTTTTTGAGACCATGGCAGGATTGCATTAGTAGAATTTTCCCCTTACCTGCTCTCTTTAAGTCTGGCTTTCCACCACCTGTTGCTCCCGCAGAATGTAAGTGCACTTAGATGCCTTTTTGCACTGCTGCAGATTCCCAGGCCTGTGCAATCAAACTCTTTCATTTCCATCCATTTCTTACCCCAGATGTTTGGTTTACACTTTATCTTAAACTAATCTGTGTCTTTGACCTTACATTCGTATTTTTTCTTAAAATGTGGGTGCTCAATTTGAGGAGCTATAAAAAAATATTTGGAATGATCAGAGAACCAATGCCAATCAACTTGGAAATACCCCTTTCCTCATGATGACTTCAGCGGATTGATTGTGTAAGTATCACTCAGTAGGCATCACCGCAGCTATAAAATTGTAAACTATAATCATGTTCCATGTGTGTTCATCAGATGGGATTTTGGCCTGTACAGATAGGAAAAGGCTGGATATCGTTGAATGATCTTCCACGAATTGTATGGAGCCAGAAATCAAAGTCAGAGGACCAGTCATGAGGGATCTGTGGCCTGTGCCCTTTGAACCAGGAAACTTGAATGAATAAAGCCTGTAGTAATTGATCTCTGAAGTGGCTTTGTTTGCCCTTTCACCTTGATAAGGTATGTAACTCAGTTTAAGCTTAATTCCTTAAATCATTTCCATTTAAAATGTCATGGGTCTTACTCAACTTGTCAGATGTGCAAGAGTTTAATGTGTTCTGTCTCATGATGATGATCAAAATATATTAACATATGTGCAATTAAGAATTTAAATAGAGTACTGCATATCCAATGATTTGCAATACCAAAATTTTCCCACTGATTTCAGTGGCAGTGAAATCAAGCCCAGACAGAGAAGTTATTTTAGATGAGTGTGCAGCAGTGCTGCGGCTGTGGCAGTAGATTAGAGCCTTTCGCCACTGGAGACTTTAAATCCTGGCTTAAATTGTAAGTGAAAGGTCTCATCTTTGTCTCCGTATTTCATATCTACCACAGACTTTGGCAGAATTGACAGTCTCTGCCTAAGGGTTGTGCAGAGAAGTCTGCCCTGTGCCAGGCTCCCTAGAAAAGTCTTCTAGGCCCCTCAGTTTCCTGAGCACTACAAACCAGGTGTGACTGATGTTAGTCATACCACTTAATGTACTACTGGAAAGCGCTCAGACACTATCATAAGAGTTAGTATAAGAACGTATGTAGATTATTACACAAACACACACAAACAGTTATAAGAACACTAATAAGACTGTAAAATCAAGCATTCAAAAGTTAGGAATGCCTTTGCAAGCAAGCTTCATTCTCTCTCTCTCTCTCTCTCTCTCTCACACCCACACACACACCCTTGTTCATGCACATTATGACAGTCTTTAATTACATGATCACATTAACTTTTTTCACAGGACACCTGCTTCATTCAGCACACAGGAGGGACCTGCTCTGGGATGAATTAGGGTTATGTGGTGAAAAAGACTGTTTTCTGACCCCTGCCTTGTTTGCTGCAGAAGCTGGAAGGTGTGTAGTGATTGAGGCAGGGGACTGCAGGAAGAGAGAAGATGATCTCATAGTTAAGGTAGTTGAATGCTGCCTTGGGAAATTGTGTTCTGTCCCTGCCTTTGCCAGCATTCAGACACTGGACACTTGATGCTGGGCAAGTCACGGGATTCCCGACTCAATATGCAGGGGTCACAGTTGCTGTGTGCGCTCTACGCTTCTGCTGCAACTGAAGTCAATGGGAGCTGTGCTTTGAATAGACTAAGTGCTATGTAATGCTAAGTACTCTGAAAAATCCGGTCCATAGTGTTGCAAATTGGGCACCCAAAATTAGTGGAAACTTTTGACTTTACTCTCGCTGTGTCTCTTCCCTTCTGTAAAAAGGGGTAACAAGGTCCCCTCATCTCCCAGGGATGTTGGAAAGATAAGTTCATATTTGTGAAGCACTCATACACTGGAAACAGTGAGCATGACAGAAAAGCCCCTAAGGAAACTTAATATAATTCTGTTTTCAGAGCAGGGTTTGAAAAGTGTGTTGTAAACAAGGTCTGGGGCAACCCATTGAACAAAGAGGATAAAAAAATAATGAATAGTTGCTCATTAAATCAGCACTGTCCATCCTTTGCACTGAATGAGGCATGGATCCTGTGGAAAAAATAGTATGTAGTCATGTAATTAAAGACTATCATGATGTATAGGCAACCTTAATAGGCAGTGTCTGTAATTATCCTGTCTAACTTAACTATGGTGGTTGTTCTTATCCATAGGATGTCTAATCCTTCTAAAAAATCCTTCTCTACTCTTGACCTCAATAATATCTTGACAGTGAATTCCACAGGTCAATTATGTTGTGTAAAATGTTTTCTTTTCAGTTTTAAATGTGTTGCCTATACTTTGACTGTCCCTTTGTTCTTATGTTATGAAAAAAGATGAAGGAGAATGTCCAATTTACTTTTTTGTAACTATAATTATTTCATATCTTTCTATCATTTCCTTCCTTATTAGTCTCCTCTCTAAACTAAACGCTCGTGATCTAAGTCTCTTCATATGGAGAGATTGTCCTTTTTTAAATAAAATTCAGGCCTGTGCATCTTTGGAACTTCTATCAAGAGCCCAGACTATAGCACAGTGTTCTGTAGCTGAACATGCAAATGGCCATTAGGTGGCATCTGTTGACTTTCACTTCTGATACATTTGTTCTACATTATTTGAAAGCCATTAGCAAACAGCCTTCAAAGAAAGAATTTTGGTGGAGATTTTGTGGGCATGATTCCAGCTGCACGGCAGAGAGATGAAAGCAGACATCTGGCTACAGAACTGATTTAATTATCAGTTCAGTTAAAAACCCTGAAATGGAATGTGGACTCTGGGAAGTGAGCTCCATCCATTTTATTCAAAGTTTTTGAGACTATTTCCTAACTTTTCCAACCAGCAACAGGTGCAAAAATATAGGTCTGAATATTATTAAAACGGTACCCTCTGGAACAGAGGATTATACAAGTCTCATATTCAACTTCCTGCCTTCCAAGAACTTTCCTCCATCAAAAAAACCAAAACATGTCAATATCACCAAAACCAAACCAATACGTGAAATGCTTTTGTTTTGCAATGACTTGTGAGTTTTTTATGATTCTGATGATCCTGTTGGATTGCAATCCAGTGGGTCAGAGTGTCTTGGCTCACTGGTTCAGCTTCCATGGAAAATCATGAGCGCCAAACCCTAATATGTGCACTGCAGTGCACTACCAATGCTGTCACAGACTCTCTCCTTCAGATGTGATGTTAAACCAGCCCGGCAAAATGACCACGAGGTGTGAGCATAGGCACAAAATGTCTTCACATGCTATTACTAAGATTTTTAGCATGACAAGAGCGCTATTGGGTGTGTGTTGGAAGGTGCATGGTGCCTGGAAAGTACCAAGCATGTTGCGGGCATTGTCTCAAGCAAATAATAAATATGATTCCCATGTTTGTGTCACTAGCTGGTGAAAGTCCTTTTGGGAGGAAGATGATGGACAAGGCAATGGCTGCTCCAGATACTCTCAAGGGAAATTGTACATTTTGACAATCTGCCAATAACCTTTCAAAGTAAGTCAAAGTGGATCAGTCAGAGACTGTTTTTATTCGGGATTCAATTATAAATAAAATCAGGTTGGAGGAGAACAATGGCTGGAAGTGTCCGAACAGATGTTTAGCAGAACTTTCTTCTTGGCCAGTCTTGCTCTGAATTTTCTTGTTGTTCTTGTCCCCAGTAGGCTTCAGACCTGTATCAAAACTGGAGAAGGAAAATCAAAACCATGAGAGAGAGAGAGAGACTTTTTTTTTCTCTTTTGGATTTTATGCTTCTACATGAACTACAGTGCTTTCCATAGTACGAAAGTGCTTTTTTAAATCTAATCACATGATGCCCAAATCTATTGGTGCACACAAGCTTTTGCTTATAGTTTTTCCTTTCAAGCTACTGTACATTTCCTTGGCACAATCCTAGGTTTTATTTAATATAGGCTTTGATAGTACAACATGTTAAGTAAATGAGGTCACTGTAACAGCTTGCAGAGCTATATGACTCAGGAGTGAGTGTACAGTTGCTGAAATCAGCAGAGGCAGGCACCATAGAGATAAGGTGCTGTTTACCCTGGTGCTCAACTGTCAGTCGTAATCACAAGTAGTCTGTCCCAACAAGATAACACCATGGAAAAATGCATCCATTCTTCCTCACTGCTCCAAATATAGATTTTTCTTCCCCTACCTGCCAGATACCGCCTGATCTGTTGTCAAAACCAACAGTTTCTCCAAACGTTATTTGCTCATGAAGTGAAAGCAAAGGTCAGAGACGACTGACTATATCAGAGACCAATAAACGTCTCTGAGCAAAGCTTTCTGAGTCCTTGTCCTTGTCAAACAATACTCAGGGAGAAAAGGAGTACTTGTGGCACCTTAGAGACTAACCAATTTATTTGAGCATGAGCTTTCGTGAGCTACAGCTCACTTCATCAGTATGGAGTCTTTCGTTTCCCCGTTTCCAGTTTCGAATCCAGCTCAGGTTAGTAGTGATTGAAATCTGTGACCGTGAACTATGTTAAATGAGCTGATGGCTTCAGTTCCTAGTGGATAATCTACCCACATCAAAAAACCAGCTCCTTTGTCTTTGATGGATAGTTGGTTGCCAGTTTCAGCAGAAATGCCAAGGAATGAATGGACCAAGGTTTTCCAGGTCAGGAATGTGGCATACATTAGCAATGGGGAAGCTGCCCACTCCATAGATGTACTGTGGATAAATTAAAGTCCCAAAGCTCTAGTGTTGACTTGGCAGCTTCTCAAATGGGGGAAAAAAATGAAACTTCTTAAACTTTTGGTGAGAGAGCTCATACTTTCTGATGTGGCTGTTCCTCAAAGCTTTACCTTAATGCTCCAGCCCCAAGAACAAGGGCATTACACAGTCCCCATTTTAGCCAGTGGTTCCTCTCAGTAGAAAGGTGAAATCATTCCTGGGGGAGGTAGCTTATATGAGATTTTGAGCCCATAGATTTCCTCCCTTCAGCCTGCCACAGCTCAGTCATTTCATCCAGTGAGTCATCAGTTGCCCAGTACTGAATCTGCACAGCTGGACACAATACCTGCTGTCAGTGGTAGTGGAAGCATCAGCTGGAGAAGAGCCAATGCCCATTCATGCATCTAATTCATGGTTGCATGCACACACCATAGTCATTGGCTAATCTGCCCACTTGCTGCTTGAGGAAGAGAACTCGTGAGTTTCAGCTTGATGGAGTAAACACGCCTTTGTGCCTCTGTGGCAGAGTGCACCCCTGTATTCACACCCTACCCACTATTGTATTAATCTTTTGTACAAAATATGCCTTGTTAGGTATAATTGGAAAACTCATAACTTGCTAGTCAATAATATCATGGTGAAATGTATGCAGCAACACGATAGGTAAAGTGATGAATATAAGCTGAAATCGTCACTGAGGTGTGTTTACCGGACAAGTTTGGGGAATGAGTAAATCGGTTGCTCAAAACAAAAAGTTGGTGCCCCAGCCAGGTGTTGCCAAAGCTGATGGGCCTTCACCTTTCACGTAGCCATGATTTGGCAAGGAAGCGGGACAGAAACAAACAGGTCTGCATCTTAGCAAACGACAGCATAAACCTCTCCCCCACCAGATTCCTTTTGTCCTTGCTCAGCTGGAAAGAACTTTATCTAGGGGTCACTCTCAGGAAAATGCATTTCAAAGGGTGACTGAACTATAAAAGTGAGGGGCAAAAACATGCCAAGTTATCTTCCCCTACCCTTCTCTCTCTCTTTCTTTTCACCTAAGAAGAAAAAAGAAACAGCAGCTGGACTTTGGAAGCAGATCCTGGCCTCAGAGTTTGGTCAGCAGCATACTGAAAACATGTGGTAAGGGATTTCACCTTGAACCAAGTCTAGGTTAAGTTTAGGAAACGTTTTATCTTTATTTATAGATAATGGCACAGAGAGTACACTTATAAAGTTTGTGGACGATACCAAGCTCAGAGGGGCTGCAAGTGCTTTGGAGGATAGGAGTAAAATTGAAATCAATCTGGACAAACTGGAGAAATGGTCTGAAGTAAATAGGATGAAATTCAATAAGTACAAATCTGAAGTACTCCACTTGGGAAAGAACAATCAGTTGCACAAAAACAAAGAAATGACTGCCTAGGAAGGAGTACTGCAGAAAGGGATCTGAGGGTTATAGTGGATCACAAGCTAAATATGAGTCAGCAGTGTCACAATGTTGCAAAAAAAAGTGAACATCCTTCTGGGCTGTATTAGCAGGAGAGTTGTAAGCAAGACACAAGAAGTAATTCTTCCGCTCTACCCCACACTGATTAGGCCTCAACTAGAGTATTGTGTCCAGTTTTGGGAGTCACAGTTCAGGAAAGATGTGGATACATTGGAGAAAGTCCAGAGAAGAGCAACAAAAATTATTAAAGTTCTAGAAAACATGACCTATGAGGGAAGATTGAAAAAAACTAGTTTGTTTAGTCTGGAGAAAAGAAGACTGAGGGGGGACTGAGGTTACAAGGAGGGAGAAAAATTGTTCTCCTAAACATCTGAGGATCGGACAAGAAGCAATGGGCTTAAATTGCAGAAAGGGTGGTTTAGGTTGGACATTAGGAAAAACTTCCTGTCGGGGTAGTTAAGCACTGGAATAAATTGCCTAGGGAGGCTGTGGAATCTCCATCATTGGGGACGTTTAAGAGAAGGTTAGACAAATGTGGTCAAGGGTGGTATAGATAGTACTTAGTCCTGCTGTGAGTGCAGGGGATTGGACTAGATCAGTGGTTTTCAAACTTTTTCTGGTGACCCAGTTGAAGAAAATTGTTGATGCCTGTGACCCAACGGAGCTGGGGATGAGGGGTTTAGGGTGTGGTAGGGGCTCAGGCAGAGGGTTGGGGTTCTGGAGGGGTTCAGGGCTCTGGACTGGGGGTGCAGGCTCTGGGGTGGGACCAGGGATGAGGGGTTTGGGGTGCAGGAACGGGCTCTGGATTTGGGAGGGGGGATCAGGGCTGGGGTAGGGATTTGGGGCACAGGCTTACCTCGGGCGACTCCTGATCAGCGGCGCAGCGGGGGTGCAGAGGCAGGCTTCCTGCCTGTCCTAGGACCGCGCTTTGCCCCAGTAGTGGCTCTTGCCTGCAAGTACTGCACCCCCCCCCCGCCCCGTGCGGAGCCGGTGCTTGGGGCAGGGGCAGCACATGGAGCCCTGTGGCCCCCCTCACCTAGGATCCAGACCTGCTGCTGGATGCTTCCAGGGCGCAGTGCAGTGTCGGAACTGGTAGGGACTAACCTGCCTTAGCTGGGCAGCCCTGCCGATGGGACTTCTAATGGCCTGGTCGGCAGTGCTGACCAGAGTTGCTGCAACCCACTCCCTTCCATTCCCACGACCCACGGTTTGAAAACCACTGGACTAGAAGACCTCTTGAGGTCCCTTCTGATCCTAGGATTCTATGATTTCTCTTGTAACTATTTCTGACTTGAATGCCTCATTACTGGTACTCACTTAAAATCTCTCTCTCTTGAGCTTAATAAACTTGTTTTATTCTTTAATTAAAACTGAGTGTTGTGGATTGGTTGGGTAACTCCATTTAGGGTAGCAGACTGTTGTATGTTGATCCCCTTAGAGGGTCAATGGACCTAATAAATCTGGACTGTCCAGGAGAAAGATGAACAATGCAGAACACATGTTTCTGGGGGGAAATCTGGGACTGGAAATGTGTTGGGGTCACCCTGCAAGTAGTAACCAAGGCTGCCAGAAGCCAGAGTGTGGCTGGTGTTTGCTGACAGGCTGCTGGGGTCAGAGCTGCTGGACCAGGGCTGTGGCTGTACACAGACACTCAGGGTAGAACCTGAACGCTGTTTGGTTACTTGTGAGGGGGCAGGGTTGGGAGCTACCACAGCAAAGCATTGGGAGGCACCCCAGGCTGCAGGGCAAGTGGTGACAGCCCCTCACTAGGCTGGATGCACCCTGGAATATCATAACCTCGACCATTTGAGCTAATGTTGAATCTTTTTTCTTTTCTTTTCTTTTTTTTTTTTCCCAAGGATTGTCACAAGAGGAGGAGGATAAGCACTTTCAGATCCCATACAGGTGAAGCTGTCTGGATACACCCCCCCCCTATATCTCACCCCCACCCTCCCATCTCATTACACCAGGGCAGGCAGACTGCACAGGCCTGCCTACACTCTAGGAAAATGTGTTGTCGGCTCTGATGACATCACTGTAATTCAGTGACATTGTGTGTCAGATATTCCTTCTCTGTGCAAACCATGCACACGCAGTGTCTGCCAAGGCACTTCAGGACGCTGGCTTTGCAAAAGCTGCTGCCTCGGGACTGCTTTTTATTTATTTATTTTTGCTTCTCCTCAGACTGAAAAGGTTAAGAGAAAAATACATTTTTCTTTTTTAATTGTGTGAGAACTATGTGTAACAATACAAAAAAAAAAGAGAGAGAGAAAGAAATTAGGGGCTGAATTAGCTGCTGGCATGCAAACAAAAGCTTTTCACTCCAGTTGCTTCTAGGCCCGACAGTTTTCACAGTTAACATGCGAGTGTCTCTTCAAACAGACTCTACATTTTTTTCATCATTAAAATGCTGCCAGAGTTTCTGAACAGGTTTTTGTGATTCTAATGCTGGGTGCAGTCAATGGCTGAACAGTTAAGGCTGGATTCTGACCCTCATTTACACCAGTGTGCTGTAAATCTAGAGTAACCCCATTAAAGCCAGTGGAGTTGCTCTGTCTATACACCAATGGAACTGAGAGCAGCATTTAGCTCCAGGTTCACTGGCTGTTTCTTGATTAGTTCTTTCACTTTGGACTCATGTTTGAAGCCTCAGAGTCTGACCTACATCTCAAACTCCCGCTGTACCAACATTGTGGCATGAAAATGCCCTTGGACTCTGCTGAGCTAGTGTTTTGCTAAACTCCAGCAGGAGTTTTTGTTTGAAAGTCTTAAGGGCCTTAATAAGTGGATTTGTTGGCCTAAACTGTGTGCGTGTGAGGCATGTGATATTCCGCTCTTGAACTATTGGTGTGCATTGGCACACAGCTGGCACTGATTGGGTGTGAGGAGAGATTCACCCCCACTCTCTTCATTGTTTCATTGTCTTCCTAGTTTTTAAGTGCATGTTATTTGTCAAAGGGATCTAGGTAGCAAAGGGATGCAAGGGAGATGGGTCAACTGATGTGAAATTCCCAGGTCTGCCATAGGCTACCAGTGTAACTTAATCTCTGTGCCTGATCTGTAAAATGGGGATAATAATTAATATTTGTGTTACACTTACATCTAGAGGCCCTACCAAAATTCCCCTATTTTTCTAGGAGCTGTACGAATGCACTGTAAGAGACCATCTCTGCCACAAAGAGTTTACAATCTAAATAGACAGGCTAGTGGGTGGGATGGGAAATGAAGTAACTTGCTCCAGGTCACACAGCTACTCAGTAGCCAAGTCAGGAACAGAACCAAGTCTCCTGGGCCCAGCCCAGTGCCCCAGCCATTGGTGAATAATGCTTCCTTTCCCTCACCCTTTCTCTGCCTTGTCGATGTAGAATGTTTGCTATTCAGCGCAGGGGCTGCCTCTTACTACATGTCTATAAAGCACCTATCCTGATCTTCATGGAGGCCTCTAGGTCAGGAGTGGGCAAACTTTTTGGCCTGAGGGTCACATCTGGGTATGGAAATTGTATGGTGGGCCATGAATGCTCACGAAATTGGGGTTGGGGTGTAGGAGGGGGTGAGGGCTCTGGCTGGGGGTGTAGCGTCTGGGATGGGGCCAGAAATGAGGAGTTCAGTGTACTGGAGGGGGCTCTGGGCTGGGGCAGGGGGTTGGGTTGCGGGGGGGGAGAGAGCTGGAGATGAGGGATTTGGGGTGTAGGAGGTTGTTCCAGGATGGGACTGAGGGGTGTGGTTGCGGGGGGGAGGGAGGTGAGGGCTCTGGCTGGGGGTACGGGCTTGGGTGGGGCTGGAAATGAGGAGTTATGGTTGCGGGAGGGGGCTCTGGGCTGGGGCAGGGGGTTGGGGTGTGTGGGCTCTGGCTGGGGGGTGCGGGCTCTGGGCTGGGGCTAGGGATGAGGGGTTTGGGGTGTAAGAGGATGCTCTGGGCTGGGATCAAGGGGTTCGGAGGGTGGGAGGGGAATCAGGGCTGGGGCAGGGGTTTGGGGGGAGGCTCAGGAGTGCATGCTCTGGGCAGCACTTATCTCAAGCAGCTCCCGGAAGCAGCCGCATGTACCCCCACCAGCTCCTACGTGGAGGCGCGGCCAGGTGACACTGTGCCCTGCCCCTGCAGCTCCCATTGGCCGGGAACTACTGGGGTGGCACTTGGAGTGGGGGCAGTGCACAGAGCCCCCTGGCTGCCCCTAAATGTAGGAGTTGGAGGGGGAACACGCCGCTGCTTGCGGGAGCCACACAGAGCCGTGGCACACACATGCGGAGCAACCCCCAATCCCACTCCCTGGCTGGAACGCGGGAGCGGGGCAAGCCCCAGATCCCCCTCCCCAGCGGGAGCTTGAAGGCCGTGTTAAATTGACTGGCGGGCCAGATGTGGCCTGCAGGCCGTAGATTGCCCACCCCTGCTCTAAGTGCTACTGTAACATAAATAATAGCTTGTGAGCAGTACAAGTTGTGTTTCCTGCAACAAGCCACCTGAAGAGACAGCTTGGGCTACACATACATTATCAGTGACTTGTTAGGCTTCTCAAGGAAATAATAAATATTGATGATCTCTCTAGGGAGACTGCATGGCTCCTGATATTGGTAATGCAACTAGGAGCCTTTCCCCTCTTGGACACTGAGCCGATGTAAATCAAGTTGGTTGTGACAAAAAGCCTTTCCCATCTCATCCAATGGCTGTTTGTTGGCCTCTTGAGCAAGGCGTTGCTGATCTCAGTGCAGTTCCTAAAGCCCAGAATGTTCAAACTGGATTGCCTAACGTATGGCCTGATTATCAGACATCTGAGCATCCACAAAACCCACTGAAGTCAGGGGAGCTATGGATGCTCCACAGCTCTGATGCCTAGAGCTTTAGGCATCCAGGTTTGAAAGCTGCATCTAAATAGGTGGCTGGATTTGCAAATGTGTTGAGCATCCGGAACTCTTACTGAAGGGAACGGCAAAGAGTCAGAGCTGCAAAGTCCACCAGAGAGTGGCAAATCCATCTGTGGGCGCTCTGCCTCACATCGCTGGCAGTAAATACTCTGCAGTTGGGACTCTGTTCACAGTTCTGTTGATTTTGCATGGGAGGACTGAACCTGTTTCACTCTCCTGTAGCTGCCAGGGCAAGAGAAATAAAAACTAGTTTGTCACCTGACCCAAGGCGAGCCAAGAAAGTGCCTTTTCTACACAGTCACCTTGCTGAATACAACCTCCCTTTAAATGCCCGATTTTTGCAGACCCCTCTGGAGTCTCTCAAAAGTGGAAAATGCAGCATGCACTGAAATGGTTGATGTAATAAGGACCAAACTAAAGCAGATACTCCTAGCACTCACCAACCCACTGCTGTTGCATCCATGCACTTCGCAATATCCCTCACACTCAGGATAGGCTCCCTCAGCCTCCCAAACAAATGAGATCACTGTAACAGCAGATCACTGCCTTTCACCCAGTCCTTCTAGTATATGAGATCATAACCCCTTTACTGCATAAGAGGCTCACAATGGGCCCTCTCATAAAATATAGGAAGTCATTGAAAGAGAATAAGCAAAATACAAACAGTTTGGGTTGCATTTACTGTTTGAAGGTCTCATGAGGATCAGGTTTCACAGCTAAAGTTCTGGTGATTGACCCCAATTGGGGATAAGGAAAGGGTGATTGCTGTGGATGACTGATTTTCTATTTCCAATGTATTGAGACCAGCTAATTGACAGTTAGTAAACATGTCCAAAGAACCTTTGGCCCTGTGTGTGGATGGGGGGTAGGGATATTGCTAAAGGAACAGGTGCCACTCTGCCGTGTTCTCTATGAGTGGCTCTGTGGCTTACTCATAGACATTAGGTCAGAAGGGACCATTATGATCATCTAGTCTGACCTCTTGCACAGTGCAGGCCACAGAATCTCACCCACCCACTCCTGCGATAAACTTCTCACTTATGTGTGATCTATTGAAGTCCTCAAATCATGGTTTAAAGACTTCAAGGTGCAGAGAATCCTCCAGCAAGTGACCTGTGCCCCATGCTGCAGAGGAAGGTGAAAAAACCCCAGGGCCTCTTCCAATCTGCCTTGGAGGAAAATTCCTTCCCAACCCCAGATACGGCGATCAGCTGAACCCTGAGCATGTGGGCAAGATTCACCAGCCAGTTACCGAGGAAAGAATTCTCTGCAGTAATTCAGATCCCACCCCATCTAACATCCCATCACTTGTTGTCTAGCTGTCTACATTAACCTTGCAGCAAAGTGCAGCCAGTACGTTCAAACAAAGACTGTGCATATGAAGGGAAGAGGAGTGGGAGGAGAATGCTACTTTGTGGCAGCCAGATGCAGGTGAAGGCACATGTACGTGGTGGTCATTAGCAACAATGAGCAAAAACTCCTTTTTAAAACTCTTTCTGGCCCAAAAGAAAATCCTGCAGGTTGGATGCCAGGTCTGTCTGATGCTTTGGCTCGGATGGTATCTCCTCTCTGCTCTTCTCATGAGTGCTACTGGACTTTTTTTTTCAGGCCTACGTTTATAGTGCTCCTTATTTCTCACTGCTGTCCCCCTGAGAAAGGCCTAAAGCACTGACGACAGTGCCACGGCTAGCTCTTGAACATCATGCATGTTAATGTTTAGCACAGTGGGGTGCAAAAGAGAGCCAGGGGGCTTTTAATTCCCATGCCAACTGCCACTGCCATGGCTGCTGAATCTGTTACTATTATAGGGGAGATTTCCAAAAGTTCTAAGGGATTTAGGACCATAAACCCCATTGACAATGAATAGGACTTGTCCTCCTAATTTCCTTTAAGTATTTTTTTTAAATCCCACCCCTAAATTATAATAATAATAATTAATAATAAATACCAAGTTTCTTGTATAGTTCTTTAGACAGGGCTGGGACAACAGCTGAGGTCAATCTAATGTGGGGGCCATTGTGACCGAGGAGGTCACTCAACCAATCACCGCCCTTCCTCTCCAGCCAAGTTGCATGTTACTTGTTCTACTGGCTGAAGTGAGTAAGTATCAAGAGGGTGACAGTACTGTATGTGTGTCAAGAGTTTTCACTGGCAGATGACCTGGCCTCTAACTGTCCCTGCTCTTAAACGTTCCACAGCCCCATGCTACCATTTCAGCTTTTCCTTGTGACAAAGCTCAGAAGGGAGTTCCATTCCAAAAGGCCAGATCAGGTTCATTGGAGCAGGACTCCAACTGAGCAAGGTGAATACCTCCCTCAGGAGCAAGGGGAGAGCATCAGTTGGGGGATGAGAGGACCCACCCCTGCAGGTATCTCCCCTTTGTTCCCCTGCTTCCATTTAATAATGTATTCAAAATTAATTAAAATGTCAATGAGGGGGAAAAAATTAAGTCACCTAAGACAACCTTAACTCTGCCCTGTAGAGAGACTATGCAATAGCCATGTTGTTATGATCAAGCATTTTATTGTCTGCAAGCCAATATTAGATGAAACCGACTTTTGAAGATAGATCAGAGTTGGGTTTTTTCTTATTTTTCTCCTGGTGTCACTGCAGGGTAGATTTAAAGGTGTTTGGGTGCCTTACATGAGTATTTCCTCCACCTGTAAAATCAGGCATCCTTAGTACCATGAACCCAACCATATGGACCTGAGAGGGAGAGAAATTACAGCTAATACATTTTAGAAAACTCTAGAACCAGCTTTTCTGTCAACCACATTATTGGGATTTTAATGTTCAGTATCTCATGATCTGCCAGGGCTAGGAATACAGACAGATTTCTACTTCCTTGTCCGTGATACCTGTTTGTTCCCCAAATGGATCATGGAGTTTTTAGCATGGCACTTAATCCTCAAGGACTGTTGCCCACCCAGTACCACCAGGTAGTGTAATTTGGATGGAAATAAAGATACGCATTTGTGGCAGGTTGACTTTTTTTCAGTAGTGGTAGCTGTTTGGATTGTCAGAAGCAATCCATGCAGGGACAGGATCATGCACAGAGTACAAGTGATACCCCAGGAAAATAATAAATGTCCCTTATCACATGGCTCTGCACTTTCTCATGTGAGAATCACTTTCACATAACATGGTGTGTGTGTGTGTGTGTATACACACACACACGTACATATTGGCAGTGTGTGCGATTTATAGCCTTTTGCCGAAGGACCTCAATACTTTTGTAAAAGTTGGTACATGTATTATCTCCATTTTATGGATGCAGGGAACTGGGAGATGGAGAAATGAAGTGACTTGCCCAAATTCAAGCAGCAAGACAGGGAAGTTAGGAATAAAAACCCCAGAAACTTTAAATCCCGATTCCGAGCTCTAACCCCCGTAAATTACGCTGCTTTTCTGTTGTACAATAAAATATTTTGTAAGTTAAATCTTAACTACTCTTCGGTATGTGGGTATACAACAATTTCTCACATAGACAATTATGTCTTACACATTTAGTTGTAAGCCACTGACACTGAGAGTCTTCTTACCCATGACTGCTTTTTATTTTTCAGCTGTAAAATAAAATTAGAGTCGAGGCACAAATCATTTTTTTTTGTTCAAGCAGAGTAGGGCAATATTGTGCAAATACTTACAGATGAAATTCATTGATAAATAGATTCATAGATTCCAAGGCCAGACGGGACCATTGTGATCATCTAGTCTGACCTCCTGCATAACAAAGGCCATAGAACTCCCCACAAATAATTCCTAGAGCACATATTTTGAAAAACATCCAGTCTTGATTTAAAAATTGACAGTGATGAAGAATCCACCACAACCCTTGGTAAATTGTTCCAATAGTTAATTACTCTCGCTGCTAAAAATGTAGGTCTTATTTCCAGCCTGATTTTGAATCTTCAGCAGAACTATGAATCACTATCTGAAATTATAAAGTTACTGAATATGTAAGAGTAATAACCATTCATTTCTATCCTTCTACTCTTCTCTCTTCTGGTATATTCTCAAAATAATTTCATTCTCCTTCATCTAGACTAGTTGATCCTTCCTGGATTTGATGAATCTGGTTACATCCTGACTTTACCTGAAAGGAGCAACTTGAGAGACTTTGTTCTTCCTGCTTTGGGGTAATTTGAGAAGCTAACCTATGTTTACTCAAGTGGCTTCTGATAGTCAGATGCTACTTGGGGCTTACTTAAGCTGTACTGAATGTGCATTAATTCCTAGGCTGGCTGACTGTCCAGTATGAGGATGGAAACCATGAAGAACTTTGCATGCTGAAAGAAAAGGAGTACTTTTGGCACCTTAGAGACTAACCAATTTATTTGAGCATAAGCTTTCATGAGCTACAGCTCACTTCATCGGATGCATGCCGACTATTTCTGTGCCATCAGGACAACACAGCACCATGCACATCATTTAGTATTGAAAGAGCAGCTATATGTTTGTGTTCATTGAATCTTCATTGAAAATTTCAACAAGTACCACAATGCAGTTTCTTTTTTAAAAAACAGAGAAAAGAAACAGGGTGTGGGAAGGAGGGAAATGTACTTGTCAATTGTCCTACATCAGCCTTTTTTGGATTTAAATGCAATTCACAGCTAGTAACGAAGTCTGACTGTTTTTGTCTTTTCCTTTCAGTCTTTTTTCCCACAATATAACTTAAACTGGAGAGACAGTGGCTCTTAAATTCTGCCAAAATCCTAGTTATTGTCTCAGAATGGTGAAGTGGAAATGTTAATTTGATTATTTATATTATAAATCGTGTGTAAATTAATACTGTATTATATATAATTTAAAAACCATTTCCCATTCCATAATGATTACATTACATACAATATATTATATGCCCCCCACACACACACGTATATGGATGGGGCAGAGGGGTTGTGCACGTGTTTGTGTGTATATAGTCATAACTTCTTGCTAAATGGGAAATTGGATGTTAGCAAGAGACAGCATGCAAAGCAGGCTAATAAAAGATATAAAATTTGGCCCGAGAAACCAGTCTGTTTTACAAAGGGGATCAGCACCTTTAATCTGCATGACAATAATCTTGTCTGAGCTCTCCTTTGACCCTGCTGAGTTTGTGTGAGTATCACAAGCACTTGCAGACACAGTGCAGTGCATTTCAGCTGTGGATCCCAATACATCTGCAGCCCCCTACCATCTGCACTCATTGTCTGCTCTGCGACCTCACCGAGCATGCATGGCTAAGCTAACAAGTTCTCACTTTGTGCTAAATCACATGTGTTGGCTTTAAAGGAGACGACAGTACAAATGGCCCTTTCGAATGAGCACCTTTTTAAAATGAAATTTTCTTTACAGCTGGTGAATCGAGCTGACAGCCCAACAGAAATATATCACTTTTAGATGGAACCTGTTTAGGAATGGGCAAGAAACAGTAAGATAAATCACAATCGAGGATCAGAATTTTTTTTGTTTTGCCAGTGACAAGGAGATGCTGTTTTGGGGTTAATGGGTGGGGACTTAGTTTTGAAAATTGTTCTATTTCTGTTTGGGAAATGTCTAGCGAGACAAAGTGGGAGAGGTAATATCTTTTATTGGACCAGCTTCTCTTGGAGAAAGACAAGCTTTTGAGCGTACACAGAACTCTTCTTCAGGTCAGAATAAGTGCCAAAGCTTGCGCCCCTCACCAACAGAAGAAGTTGGTCCAATAAAATATATTACCTCACCCACCTGGTCTCTAATATGCAGAGACTGACCCGGCTACAACAGCACTGCGTACAACATGGAAAAGGTCGGTCACTTATGTACTGTTTTGGGCCGTCTTTCTGTTATGGTAAATCCTCTTGGTCAATTCACTCTCTGCTCAAAGCTGAGTCTTAGAACAGGCTTGTATAATCTTCATAGCTAACCATATTAATGCCACTTTTTCTAACATTGTCTGAAGTCCATCCTGAATGTCAGTGTCCTAAAACAACTAGGATTCATCTTCATAGATTGTAAAGAGCTCTCAGGGTAGCTCTGTGGGAGAGGGACCATCTTTTTGTTGTTTGTACAGTGTACTGGTCCGTGGCTGAGGCCCCTAGGCCTACTGCAGTACAAGTAATAAATAATAATAATAGCATGGTCTAGTGAATTGACCAAAGAGCTGGGACTCAGTTTCTAACTCTCCTGTGCCGTTAACTTTATGTGGATTTGGGGAAGTCACTCATGGCATTGCCTCCCCTGGAACCAGGACTGGGCTTTGAATCTGTGCGTGCATTTTGTTACCTGGAGATTGTGAATAATTCTGTAAATCCTGGTCCTGTAGTCACATTCACATGGGGTTAATGAGTGGGGAATTACTTTTGAAAATCATTATAATTCTGCTCAGTGTAGTGGTTCAGTGGTCATCCCTCTCAGTCAGGCTCAGAGGGAGGCCGCTCTGCCTCACCATGTCAGATAGCAAGCAGTCAATTAGCAGGCATTGGCTCTGGCCCTCAGGACGGACAGAGCAGCACACAGTCTATTGTCCAGTCTCTGGCTTGGGCAGACAGCAGTTGACAGTCTAGGGGCTCTGACCCTCTGGGTGGGGCAAAGCAACGAGCAATCTTTAGCTGCAGACTTCAGGCTGGATCAGACAGCAAACACACTCTGGGGCTTGGACCCTCTGGGTGGGATAGAGCAACAAGCCACAAAAAAGGCATAAGTCTTCCAGCCTAGGGTGACCAGACAAGACCCAGGGATGGGGTTGGCAGTAGGGGGGGCCAGGCCCACCTTATTCTACCGGGTCCCAGTCCAAGGCCCTAACAGTGGTGGGTGCTCAGGGTGCTCCCACCACTGAGTCGGGGGGAAGCCATTGAAACATGTTGACTCGTTTCCCAGCAACATCACCGGACTAATGACTGGTTCCCTGGGCCACTTCCTACCCCACTTCCTTGGCGTGGCTCCATAGTTTTGGGGGCCTCAGACTTCTCAGAGTAAACGGTTGACGGAAGTCCCAGCAACTCCATTCTGCACTAGGTCTCCTCAAGGGCATGGCGCTGCACAGCTCGGTCCCTGGTCTGGAGTTCCACAGAGATGTCTGCCTCCTTCCCTGGCTCCAGCCCAACTGAGCTGGAGGGCCCGCCTCATAAAGTTCCTGTCTGGCCCCTTGGCTTCTGTTGCAGTGGGTAGCACTGTCTTGGCTCCACACACCAGGGCCTGTGGGGTGGTTCCTCCCCATCAAGATTGGAGGGAGGTCACTGTGCCTCTCTACACTTGGAAAATATCTAGAGCAGGGGTTCTCACAACAATGTTTTTGGTGGCCTCAGAATGCGGCCACCATCTCTAGCTGGTGGCTGCTCTGACAATTTTTCCTAAAATACTTAAGTAACTTTAAGAAAAACAAATAAATATGCACATATCCATGTCCAAATCATTGTAATTTATTTCATCATCATCATCATGATGTTCCTATTAAGCCTCTGGCGTTTAGGGCAGTAACGAAGCTCCTCCACTCCTGTCTGTTTCTGGCAAGTCTTCCAGTGGTTCCCCAGCTGTGTGTCAGATTTTTCAGCTCGGCTTCCATAGCTCTTCGCCATGTTGTTTTCAGGCAGCCTCATTTTCGCTTGCCTTCAGGTGTCCATCTTGTTGCTACTCTGGTGATGGAAGCATCTTCTATCTATTTTCCACCTTTTTAAATGTGCTTCCCCTCTCATCTATTTTGGCAGTCATGCTTAGAAGATCTTTTCTGATGTGTTCGTATCTTTCACAGTGCAATTATCATCATAGTATCTGCACACTGACCATAGGTACTTGCCAGAAAACAGGCAAGCCCTGAGTGGCATGGGGTGGTGGTGGTGGTTGTTTGTTGTTTTTTGGGGGGAGGGTAATGGATTTGGGAGTGGGTTGTATGATCAAGGAGCTTTTAAGCTTACATCACCTGACCCAGGAATAGCTATTATGCTCCGCTTCCATATATGTGCTCTTGGAGGAATCTTCTGCATGGAGAACATGAACAATGAGGGAGCTGGGATTGTTTAGTCTGCGGAAGAGAAGAATGAGGGGGGATTTGATAGCTGCTTTCAACTACCTGAAAGAGGGTTCCAAAGAGGATGGATCTAGACTGTTCTCAGTGATAGCAGATGACAAAACGAGGAGTAATGGTCTCAAGTTGCAGTGGGGGAGGTTTAGGTTGGATATTAGGAAATACTTTTTCACTAGAAGGGTGGTGAAACACTGGAATGGGTTACCTAGGGAGGTGGTGGAATCTCCTTCCTTAGAAGTTTTTAAGGTCAGGCTTGACAAAGCCCTGGCTGGGGTGATTTAGTTGGGGATTGGTCCTGCTTTGAGCAGGGGGTTGGGCTAGATGACCTCCTGAGGTCTCTTCCAACCCTAATATTCTATGATTCTATGAATGAGCAGTCACTGACCAGACTACAGATACACAGTAAGGATAACTTTGCAGTGTTCATCTGTGCCTGCTTTGGGAGCATGAGCCAAACTATGTCCAGTAGACTTAACTTTCCAAACTAATTTTTTAGCTGGATTTTAAAAGGGCAAATTCATCGACTCATGGTTTGGGTCTGACCAGCTTTTCATTTGCCAGCCAAGCCCACAAAGGCGATTTTCTCTGACTTAACTCACAAATTTCTGAAGGACACAAATGGCTTAATATCCGGAAAATTTAAATTAAACGTGGCAGCATCCCATAAGAAGAGAAAAGAAATTCTAGTATGCATGGAACATTCCTCCATGTTAGTCTGTGTCCAGCATCTGAATTAAAGACCTTTGTTTTGTGTACACTCAGCCATGCTCTCACTGAGGCATTTGTGTGTGTTATTTTTTGACAGTTGCCTCTAATTTGATAGATGTGATTAAAGGATTGATTTTTAGGATTAGCCATCATTACTTCTCTGGCCTAAATGGAAATACAATACTCCTTAACTCTCTTTGTTAACCAAAAGGCTGTCAAAGTTGTAGCTAGTTTAGCCCTTTATTTCTGCTATCTGTCTTCAGCAACCTAAAAGGACATTTCTACTGGCCAGCCAGCTGCATAGACTGAGGAGCTTGGATATAACAATCCCACACATTTTCTGGACAGATGGAGATAATGTCAGTTTCTTGACATCTCCTTTTATCCCATTACTCCTCCATTGTGTTGCATCTATTTTCTGTCTGTATGAATTACCTTGATAGCCTAGTTAATTCTGTGTACTATTTGCATTCACTTGGTTACAATTGTTGGAGCAATTATTTAAAAATAATAGTAAAATTAGGACATTTTTTTCAGCTTCTAGAATTCTTGATTAAGAGCATCTTTGCAGCTCCCACGTCATATTATTTCCATCAGGTTTCTCATCTCCATCAGTTGTTACTATTGT